CAAAGAGAGAGAGAGAGAGAGAGAGAGAGAATTAGATAATCAAGTATTACCTTAGAATGTAGATGAACAAAAGAGACAAAGAATCAATGAATGTATCACAACTGCGATAAGGTGTTTGCGGGGAGAGGGGAAGGGGAAAGGAAGACCGGCAAAACGCGGTTTCCAAGAGAACGGCTCTCGAAAGACTGACCTTTGCATCAACACATTCTTTTTATACCGCTGAGTACCCCCACCCCGCTCCAGCACACCTTGGCATAAGTGCGGCCCCCCTACGACAGGTTTGTCAACAACAACTCGTACAGGGTTCGTCAACGATGCTCTGGAGTGACGATGCAGGCTGATCGGTGCACGGCAATTGCTCGCATTTCAGGATATCGTTGACGCTCCCTGTAATGCTCCTAAAGCGTACGTTTCATTAGCACAGCAGGGCTCTAAGTGCGTCTCTCTCGCACACATACGGATTAATACACTTTTTCTACTACCTATAACTATACTATCTACACGGCATTCTCGACTACAGTAGGATTTCCGTCGAGCGATCGCAGTTGCATGTTGCGCTGCATTTTGTTACATGGTGTTAGCACAGACTATAACGATGCACTCGCTGGCGCTATCCAACGCATTGAAACGCAAGGCAACAATTAATCAACCGACGAAAAGCCAGGCCAGCATTGCGAGGTCGGGACGTTAATTCGTGCAAATATTTAGCCACGCTAAATGTATCTGGTGCAAATACAATGAGCGTCATTAATGCTGTCATTAATGCTGTCAATTTCAACGACAAAGCCGTAGATCCAACCGTTTGCAAGATATAGCCCGCCGACATTGAAATTTCGCGTATTTTCAGAATCCAAGACCGGATATTCCCTGTACGTGGCCCTATGGCAATTCTATCTGTGCCAGCCTCCTCTATGGACCATTCTGAGTCTCTGCATTAAGAGAGATCTTTAAAAATGTCATTAGTGGTTCGATCGATTAATCCTATAATAAACGGGAACGACAGAAATTCCATTCCACATGTAAATGCGCAGAATCATAAAATAAAATCCCTACCGTATAAAAGTGCCAGTGTAGTATAAAAGGTGCTCACAGCTTTTGTCGCTTTCTAACCGATACGCGGTAAATAGCGATTAATTGGCATAGAGGTAGAAGTCAGCAAGGTAGTCGAACACGGCCGTATGGAGTTAGCCATTAATTATACATTGTCACCGTAAACGGCGTGTGCGAGACGTATTTAAATGGTCGTTCCTGTAACGTGCGAAACTTACCAAAACAAGTGCTAGAATCGGCCGCAGTAGATCCAACCGTTTGCGAGATACAGCCCGCTTTTTTTTTTTTTTTTTTTTTTTTTTTTTTTTTTTTCAAATGAGAAATTTAATTCCCTTGTCGATTTTCAGTTTACAAAAAAAACTTTACACTTTCCACGGCAACGATTTTCCATATATGCGCGACTCGAGAATTAAATCACGCAACACTTCCTGCAACGCTGCAGCAGATAATTGTGACACTGATTCACAAGGATGATATAAAGTCCAGAATTCTGTTTTGGTAAACAACAATTTCTGCTAACACAAAACGTTTCGGAGTCACTGCAGACACGTGAACGTTCACGAGGTGCGACTGAGGATGGCGATGCAGCCAAGAAAAAAAGAAAATAAGTGGGAAAATTCGTTGCCGTTACTTCGCAGTTAAAATTTGGCCGTAGTTCATGTTTCTTCCGCTAGAGAATTGCGTCAACCACGCGGGTGTCGGAAGGCATAAGAAGCTTAGAGCTTTCCTTTGTCCTATTTCGTTGATGGTATTTCGACATTCGACTACAGAGATATTTACAGACGGGCATTCTTTCGCGACGCACTACGTCACACTTTTTTTCGTAAATAAAGGTGAATGACAAAGACTATAGAAAAAGACGTTTCGCGACGCACTACGTCACACTTTTTTTCGTAAATAAAGGTGAATGACAAAGACTATAGAAAAAGACGTTTCGCGACGCACTACGTCACACTTTTTTTCGTAAATAAAGGTGAATGACAAAGACTATAGAAAAAGACGTTTCGCGACGCACTACGTCACACTTTTTTTCGTAAATAAAGGTGAATGACAAAGA